ACTTACAAAAAACATAATCTCGGCATCGAGCACACCCGTTCATAGTCCGTCGGTGGCCGATATCTTAACAAGGGTGCTACTTAGGCTTAACGTCTCCTAACACGAAAGGACAGTGCTACCTAGGCTTAAAGTCCCCTAGCACGGAAGGACTTACAAGACCCACGGGATAAACCGTCAGTGGCAAAACAAGACAAAGCAAGGGAGATATCTCAAGCAAGGGTGCTGCGAAAGTTTAGAATCCTCCAGCACAAGGGATCTATGTTACAAAGGCCCGTAGCCCTTTAACACGAGAGTACTGCGAAAGTTTAGAGTCCTCCAACACAAGGGACTTTCAAAACAAGATGTGCAGTTGCATTATAGTCCCCTGGCACTAAGGACTTTTCGAGAATGTCATCAAAACAAAGCTTACTTGATACATAAAAATAGGGGTAATCATTCATACTTGATCAAATACTTTTATCAAAACGAAACAAGGTTTTATCAAATCTTTATAACATAACTTTATTAAAAATACCACTCGCATAGTTCTTCGGACGTCGGGGTCAAAGCAAAGGTCCAAGTCCTACAAACACATGGTAAGGTCTACTGAATGCACTTCTCAAAACAAGTCTTACATACATGCATACGATCTCGGGAAAACATGCTGGAAGTCAAAACACTGTTTTACATGTCAGGAAGACATGATAGGTACCAACCAGGTCTTTGCTGAGGTCCCACACCTCCTAGCCGAGGTGTGGCTACCTAGGCTTCGGCGTGCGGCTGCATGCCGAGGTGCGCACAAGACAACTAAAGGTGTAAGTGATCATGCAAGGTAGGCCAATGTGAGATACGATACTTGGCCTAAGTGTGAGGTCTAGGTAAGAGTGATCTCGACGACTACACTTAGGGAAGTGAGGTCTGGAGATCGGGGTTTCCACCCGTGAAGAATAAGAAGAACATGAAGAATATGAATGCTAAAATCATAACTTCTTTATTACAAAATCTGGGATTTCATGCTATGAGTTCGAAAACATGGACCTGGGTACCCATACTTGAAAATCATGTGAAAACAAACACAAAAACATGGATCTTGGCAATCTATATCTATATCTATCTATCCACAAGTTTTGTGGAAGTTTCAATATCTGAACCTTAATTTCTTAATTTTTTTGATTTTTTTTTTTTAAAAAACTTAGCACTTATTAAATTCTTCCAAGTCTTTTAACTTCTCCATTACACACTAAACCCTAAATCTTAAACATAAACACTCACAAAGAAAAAAATGTGATTGTAATGTAATGTGATTGTAGTTTGAATTTTCTAATCCCAATCTGAATTAAAAAATTAAAGTGTGATTGTAAAAAGATTTGTTTGAATTTAATAAGTGCGATTGTAAAAACTTTTGAATTTAAAAAATCAAAGAAAGTAAAAAAAGACATGGAAGAGTTTAATATTTATCACATTTTAAATTCAAACGATCACTTCTCCTAGTCTTTTTAAAAAAGTTTGAATTTATAATCACACTTTAATTTTTTACAATCATTTGAATTTAAATTCAAAAGACTTTATCACATTTTAAATTCAAATATTTATCCCATTACATTACTGTCACGACCCCAAACTGCCCCTAGTAGTTTGGTGCCGTGATGGCCAGTAATCCGAGATTACCGAAGGCCAACTTTCAAAAGTTTAACACAATCAGAGTATAGTATATGGGGCTTACAGATGAGGAAGCGATAGATCAAAATACAAATGGTCCATAAGAGCAGTGCATAGGTCAAATGGAATGGCATACATTTTTACATAACTTTAAAACTTGAATACAAATAAGATGAAGTACAAAAATACATATTACATCTTGATAAAAGGCTTCTCAACCCGACATAAACAAAATACATGAAATACAACTAATAGCATAATCTCCAGGATTGCCGACATTCTTACTACCGATATAACATACATACAAAACACACACATCTCGGCGTAGCCGACTTCTTGCTTGTTACCTACATACATACATAGAGAGGGTGAGCTTGGATACTCAGTGAATGGTACAAGTAATAAAGGGGTTAAATGAATGATTCCCGAGGTCTTTTCAAAACAATACATATATCATAGCTTGTTCAAACACATGAGATGAATCTAGTTCATCAACTTGATCTTACAAAACTTACTTACTTACTTACTTACTTTGGATGTTAATAACATCTACATAATACAAGGGATGACATTCCGGACTTACAAAAAACATAATCTCGGCATCGAGCACACCCGTTCATAGTCCGTCGGTGGCCGATATCTTAACAAGGGTGCTACTTAGGCTTAACGTCCCCTAACACGAAAGGACAGTGCTACCTAGGCTTAAAGTCCCCTAGCACGGAAGGACTTACAAGACCCACGCGATAAACCGTCAGTGGCAAAACAAGACAAAGCAAGGGAGATATCTCAAGCAAGGGTGCTGCGAAAGTTTAGAATCCTCCAGCACAAGGGATCTATGTTACAAAGGCCCGTAGCCCTTTAACACGAGAGTACTGCGAAAGTTTAGAGTCCTCCAACACAAGGGACTTTCAAAACAAGATGTGCAGTTGCATTATAGTCCCCTGGCACTAAGGACTTTTCGAGAATGCCATCAAAACAAAGCTTACTTGATACATAAAAATAGGGGGAATCATTCATATTTGATCAAATACTTTTATCAAAACGAAACAAGGTTTTATCAAATCTTTATAACATAACTTTATTAAAAATACCACTCACATAGTTCTTCGGACGTCGGGGTCAAAGCAAAGGTCCAAGTCCTACAAACACATGGTAAGGTCTACTGAATGCACTTCTCAAAACAAGTCTTACATACATGCAAACGATCTCGGGAAAACATGCTGGAAGTCAAAACACTGTTTTATATGTCAGGAAGACATGATGGGTACCAACCAGGTCTTTGCTGAGGTCCCACACCTCCTGGCCGAGGTGTGGCTACCTAGGCTTCGGCGTGCGGCTGCATGCTGAGGTGTGCACAAGACAACTAAAGGTGTAAGTGATCATGCAAGGTAGGCCAATGTGAGATACGATGCTTGGCCTAAGTGTGAGGTCTAGGTAAGAGTGATCTCGGCGACTACACTTAGGGAAGTGAGGTCTGGAGATCGAGGTTTCCACCCGTGAAGAATAAGAAGAACATGAAGAATATGAATGCTAAAATCATAACTTCTTTATTACAAAATCTGGAATTTCATGCTATGAGTTCGAAAACATGGACCTGGGTACCCATACTTGAAAATCATGTGAAAACAAACACAAAAACATGGATCTTGGCATGAACTTTCGGATCAAAACATGACTTTTCTTGAAGAACACATGAATGCTATTTTTTCTTTCTAAAACCGAACTTCAAAGCAATGCATGGCTTACAAAATCGTATTCAATCATGTAATGCAATAACATGAACATAAAAAAGAATATGAGCAGATCAAGAATCTAACCTTAAAACACGGATCTAACGGTTCGATCTCTAGGGATCAAGCTTGGAAATCTACTCTCCCTCAAGAACTCTTCTCCCTTTTCTAGAGCTTCTCTCTCCTCTTCAAAAACAAGTATAGAAATAATAGGTTTCTCTCTCTGCCGGCTGACTTAACACTCAGCTCGGACACGTGGCAACGGCTGGTTGGCTCTCCCCAAAAAGGTGATAGATTGACAAGACAAGACTATGACAAAGTGTATCTAACAAGCTACCCGGTAAGGCACTCCGGCAAGTGATGACATCGGCTAAGGACAAAGCTTCGGCAACTAAGGTGACAATGACCTCCTTCCGCCAGGCCCTGTACTCCGTTTTACTGTATTACTGTTCTGTAGGCCTTCGGTAATCTCGGATTACTGGCCGGTTACGGTGCTAAACCCATAGGGCCGGGTTTGGGTCGTGACAGGCTGACTTAACACTCAGCTCGGACACGTGGCAACGGCTGGTTGGTTGTCCTAAAAAAGGTGATAGATTGACAAGACAAGACTATGATAAAGTGTATCTAACAAGCTACCCGGTAAGGCACTCCAGCAAGTGATGACATCGGCTAAGGGCAAAGCTTCGGCAACTAAGGTGTTAATGACCTCGGCTAGGAAGGACAACACTTGACTAAGCTGTGTCACACCTTGGCCTAGATGCGCCACACCTCGGTCTAGGTCATACCACTCCAGGACAAGATCACTTAGGTGCAAAGGTAATATCTCGGCCTAGATAATACACATATCGACCTTGGTGATGAACACCTCGGCCAATATGTCGGGGCGAAGGTGGAAGTCAAACAAAGGGGTTCCAAGATAATTCTAGACTGAAGATGACCTCGGCTTGGAATGATCTAGGCTTAACATAACGTAGGCTTGAGACACCAAGGAAGGAACAAAGCATGCACACAACACTTAGGCAAATCATATAAACACAGAACAAGGCATGGACCTTACTTAGGCAAAACAAGTCACAAACATCCAGATGCAAGCTTAACGAGTCATAATCATACAAATGCTCATGAATATGACTAAGACATAAATGTGGGTCGTTACAAGATACTTGGTAACAAGTTCATTCAATTAACATCATTGTTATAAGAAAATGATTTTTGTTATTTATTTTGACTAATTAGTTTCGAAAGAGATAAAAAAATCGATACTTAGCTTCTCTGAAAAAGGTATACATTAAGATTTTTTTGTTCTTAAAAGATGTATACATAAAAAATTTTCATATAATATTATGGGTGTTGATAGATGTTTATTATGGTCATTTTAATTTAGGATATAATTATCATTAAATTAAAATTTCATTAAGTGCGTGTCCTGAGTTAATTAAGTACGCGAAAATAGAATTTTCTCAAGAAAAAATATGAAATTTTATAGATTACAAGTTTAAAATATAAAACTTATTGGTCAATTCCCTAAAATTTATTATAGTAATATTTTTATAAAAATAATAAATAATTTCTCCTAAAATACCAACAAAAATGAAAAAACGCGCCCGTTTAATACACCTCTCTTATTATTATTATTTTATTATTTTTCCGCCAGAGGGAATTTTGAAGTGCAGAGAAGAGAAGAAAACCATTTCACTCTTTCACTAGGGTTTTTTATTTTTCATTCCCAAAATTCCAATTTGAGTCATCAATGGCCGACGAAGCTCCGACTTCGGAAACTCCACCGCAAATTGCTGAACAAACACCAGCATCTGTTGAAGCAACCATTGAATCGAACTCTCAGGGAGGCACACATTCTTCATGCAACAACAACGATAAGACTTGTGCTCCTACATCTGATGGGGACCGCGAGAAATCGCTGGAGTACGCGGATGAGTTGATGGAGAGAGGATCTAAGGCTGCCAAGGACCGCGATTACCCCGAAGCCGCTGAATGCTATAGCCGTGCCCTAGAAATCAGGTTTAGGGTTTATTTCCCCTTTTTTTTTGTCTGTCTCTCTCTTTGAATGCTTGAAAATTGAAGCTTTTTTTTTTGGACTTGTTGGTCCCTTAGTTGTTGTTCTTGAAGTTAGAACCCTAACGCCTCATTAAGTTTGCTTATGTGTTTTAGATTCAGATATCTAAGAGTGGTGGGGGAAGAAAATTATAAAAACAACTATGAAATGTGGGTAGAATGAGTAGTTCAACGATAAGTATAAACCTTAGATGTAAAAATTGATAAGGTTTGCTACTACCATAGTTGGAAAGGCTGATTTTAGACACCACCCCCCCTCTGAATCTTTGATATGCTATAGTAATTCATTCAAAATGAATGTAATCCAACATTTTATTTTCCACAATTATTCGAGTAAACTTTTTTGAAGTCGGCAACAATATATATATATATATATATATATTGAAACAGATACTGATTTTTGAGCTATCAAATCAATATGTGTAGCATGCATTATAGTTGCAGTGTTTCCTTCTTATTTTATGGCAATCTTGTCTTTTGCTAAGAATTCAATCAAAAAATGGGGAAACAAAATTATGTTCATATCATCCTTTCAATGCATGTTTGATTGCATAGTTATTTAATAATTTTCTCAATATTAGACATGATTTCTTTGTTTTCATTTTTAAAATTTTAATTATTATTTTTTAAATATTTTGGTTGTTAACTATTCTAACTCTTGCAGTATGGATTTACAGTTAATGTATTATGTTGACGTTTATTAAAACATAAAAAGCTAGTGCAAAGAAATTATGATCCCAGATTTTTTGCATGTGGCTGCACAATTGTGATTTCTCAGCCTTACTTAGTTGTTTGTTGTGCTTTCATTGTTTTATAAATTCACCCAGTTATGTCAGCTGCACAGATTAAGTATATACTATACAAAGATAACGAAAAATTCATGATCGAATGTTGGCAATCTTTACTATGTATTGTTGTATTTGTTTAATTGTTGGAAACACGATTTCTGGATGCAGTTCCTTTAGAATTTTAGAGATTGTTTGCCTTTTCTTTGTGACCCTCCCCTTGTCCCATGATGATTATATCCATCATTTTGTTTCATTGTAACCAAAAATTTTCTCGTTTCCCCCTAATTAGGGTTGGTCATTACGGGGAACTTGCTCCTGAATGTGTTAATGCATACTATAAGTATGGATGTGTGTTGCTGTACAAAGCTCAAGAAGAAGCTGATCCATTGGGTACTGTGCCAAGGAAAGAGGGTGAATCTAAACAAGCCTCTGACAAAGATGGATCTGTCAAGAATGCAATAAATGGTGAATCATCTGCAGCTTCTGTTTCTTGTAATGTTGTAAAAGATGGGAGTTCAAATCCTCAGGATGGAGCACCTAATGATGGTTAGTGTCCCTGTTCATGACAATCTGTGTTCAAGTGGATTTCTGGTCATGCTTTTAGATAGCAGCTCACAACATTCCTGTCATGAATTTTTAATGCTTAGAAATACTGCCTTTTTTTTTTTTTGGGTTGCCTTTTCTTCTTTTGTGTTTGTGTGTGTGCGTGCGCATAATTTTAGATGGCAGTCCACAACATTCTCGTATTGTTTATGGACAGTTGTGCCCACTAAGGCCTTGTTTGGTTTGTGTTTCTCAAAAAATTTTGGGAAAAATTCTCTACAAATAAGTTTTCAAAAGTAGTCAAACCAAACAAATTTCCCAATTTTTTTTTCCAAAAACTTGTTTGGTTTACAAGTTTTCCAAGCAAATCTCTCTCTCATACACATCAAATCAATCACTTTTTCCAAAACTCTCTCTCAAAATAATTTTTCAAAACATCTTTTGAAAAAAAATCAAACCAAACAAATTTTCGTCAAACCAAACAAATTTCCCAAAATTTTTTTCCAAAACTTGTTTGGTTTACAAGTTTTCCAAACAAATCTCTCTCTCATACACATCAAATCAATCACTTTTTCCAAAACTCTCTCTCAAAATAATTTTTCAAAACATCTTTTGAAAAAAACCAAACCAAACAAATTTTCATACTTTTTATCTCAAAACATGTTTCTCAAATACAAACCAAACAAGCCCTTAGTAGCTTGATTCTCATATTCACCTTTTGAATTGCTTCAATAACTTACAAAAGAGTCTATTTTTGTTAACATTAAAATGTTCAAGAGAGCTTGCTAATTTTGTTTGAAACCTTTGATTTAGGTTTTTTTTTTTTTTAAAAAAAAGGTTAAAGTATATTCTTCAATAAATGCACTGACTACAAAATATTTTTACTTACACTATATTCACATTCAGTTATTGTCCAGATTTTGTCAGGTAGAGTACATGTGTCCATTTTGTTTCCATCCACATATTAAGATATCCCACGTCACTTATGGCTTTGGGTGCTAAATAATGCACTTTTCAGCTTGAATCTTATATTCATTTTATGCTATTCTTTGAAGACCTTGGCCTTGTTTGGTTTGAATTTGAGGAAAAAAAATTTGAAATATGCTCTGCAAACAGATTTTTGGGAGTAATCTAACCAAACAGATTTTGAAAAAAAAAAAAAAAACTCTTAAAAATCTGTTTGCTCTGATTTTTCCAGGATGAGTTTTGAAACGTGTTTGTAAACAGATTTTGGAAAAAACAAATCTCAGTAATTTGGAAGATTTGTTCAATCTCTTTGACTAAGCGAGAAGTTAGGGTAAGATTTGGGGAAATCTGTGGGGGAGAGAAGTTATTTTGTTACATGGACTCGGATATGGATTTTTCTAATTCATTTGATTCTCATGTCAAGGATACTAGTGTTTATGTTCTGATTTCTTTTGGGTAAATGATGTTTGCGAGCTAAAATATAGTATTTGATATATATATATATATAATAGATTATAGAGTTATATGGTAAATTTGATTATTCATACATACTTGTTGGGTCCATCTCCAACTAGACATATTGGGCACATTCCATATGCATATTGGAACATATTTTTATACCCTAGTGTCAAGTGTCCGACATGGGTACTTAACAAATTTAGAATAGTCCATAGATCATATGCATACTCACAGCCTATTGTTGGTTTTTGAACTTTTTAAGTCTGTTATTGATTTTTGTGCAATTAGAGAAGAAATTAGAAACCACTTCAGCTGACGTGTGTCTTGTTAAATATTAGCAAGTCAATTATTGATCATTTGTTTATTATTTCACCTAATCTATTCTAGTTTGCTGCTATTACTTAAATTTGGTTGGTTTGACTTGGCTTGGCAGGGGACTTGTGATGATCTTTCATGATGTTTATAGAATTTAGATAGCAGTAAAGGGATGATGCTTCAGCATGCCATGTTTTTATTGCTTTATTTGGTTCTTTTGCACTCAAGGTTTTAAAAAGAGGCCGCAACCGTTACGTAACGCCGTTACGTAATGGTTGTGGTAGTTACCGTCACCCGTTACGGCATCTTTTGCAGTGTGATTGAGATTCACAGGTGTATCGGCCGTAGCGGCTGCTATAGCGGTCGTAACGGTGTCGTAACGGTGCCGTAACGGCCTATTACGCACCGTTACGTAATGGTTCCGAATTGCTTCTTTTGAAAAAACACACACACACAAAAAAAAAAAAAAACGTTGAAAATGAGGGAAGAGAGATAGAGAGACTAGAGGGAAAATGAAGAGGGAAGATGGAGGAACAAGAGATAGAGAGAGAGAAGAGAGGAGATGAAGAGCATATTATTGATTTGTTGAAGCTGTAAGACCTATGTTATTCTATTGAGTTGCTATCAATCAACCATTTTGTTTGTTTGTGTGTGTCTGTCTATATATTGCTTGATAATAATAATAATAATATGTGTGGTCATTATCTATTTAGGCTTTTATTTATTCTTTTATTTTTGTCATTATTTATCTTATATATAATAGTTAGTGATTGATTTTTTGTATAATATAAAGTCATTAATTATTAAAATAAAATGTAAAAAACTCAGGCCTCGTTTGGGAACCCTCCCTTTTAGTCAAAAAGTTACTAAAGCCTCGTTTGGGAACAGGCTAATTTAGTAACTTTTTGGCTATTTGGCTAAAATATGAGCTAAAAAAAACTAGTATGTTTGGGATAACTTTTTGGCTTTTTACGAAAAGATGTGCAAAAAGTAGAGAGAAAAGAGAATCTTTGACTTTTTGATATGGGTTGTTGACTTTTTGGCTAATTTAGTAACTTTTTGACTTTTTGACTAAAAAGTTTAGTTGCCAAACGAGACCTGAATTACCAATTTTAAAAGATGAAAGTATGTTAGGTTCAATGGAGAAGCCATACCTTGCATAGTTTTTCTCTCTACTTTTTGCACATCTTTTCGTAAAAAATCAAAAAGTCATCCCAAACATACTAGTTTTTTTTAACTCATATTTTAGCCAAATAGCCAAAAAGTTAATAAATTAGCTTGTTCCCAAACGAGACCTCAGTTTATAGTGATTTAAAATTTTGAAATATAATAGATCAAACTTAAAAATTTATAAAAATTGATCAATATTTATTTTAGAACTCAATAAATATGATCATGGAAAAATTTTTTGCGTATCGGTAAGTTTTTTTTTCAAATTGTGCGAAAAATAAAAAAATTCACGGTTCCGGTTATCGCAACCATACGCTATGGCCTTTACACCTTGTGACCGCAATCGCGCCACCGCCATCGTTACGGCGACCGCAACCATTTTTCAGAACCTTGCACTAGAAGATTAGAAGAATATAGTATATATAAAAACCATTTTATGTTTTTATTCTTTTTAAACTGAATTTAACACCCTTTTTGTTTTTCAATATCTGAGTTTGGTCTACTATTGACTTGATATTGGAGTACATTGGTGTAGCAAACCCTGGTTTTGTTTCTCATACTTTTGAGTCTGTTAATTAATTCCTCTAAGCAGCAAAAGGAGTATTGCCTTACAAGCATCCAATAGTGAGAATAATATCAGGCAATTAACTCAGATATGCAAATAGGACAGCAACCAGCATGTGACACTTTTGATATTTAAATTAACACTAATCAAATACCATAGCTTTGGAGGATGTATGCTATTATATAAGCAGGCAGGCGTGGGTAGAAATTCCTCACATAGTTTGGCTCTCTGTTTGTTGGGAGATAGTTTCCAGCGGGAAAGCTCAGGAAGAAGATGACGAGGAAAGTGATGCTGAGGACCTGGCTGAAGCAGATGAGGACGAGTCTGATCTGGATTTGGCATGGAAAATGCTGGATGTTGCAAGGGCAATTGTTGAAAAACACTCCAACGACACGATGGAGAAAGTGGACATATTGTCAACTTTGGCAGAAGTTGCTCTGGAAAGAGGTCTTTATTTATTTTATTGCTTCAGAACTGAAATTTTTTTAGTGCTTATAGTATTTGTGGTGGATAAATTCTCTCTGACAATTAGTCTGCTCATTTTTCTAAGCCCCTTTCCTGTCTTAGATATCCCATGTTTTGCTCCATGCAGAGGATATTGAAACTTCCCTCAGTGATTACCTGAAAGCACTAGACATTTTGGAACGCCTTGTCGAGCCAGACAGTCGACATATAGCTGAACTGTATCCTTTTCTTGATTGAAAGCTACTTTTTGTGATGACAATTGTGGGGATTATTATCTGTGTATTGATTGATATGATGGGTTCCTAAATTGTTACAATACTAAATATTTCACCATTCAGCCATCGTTTTATGTTCTTGCCAAGTCACTTCCCTGACTGAAGAATACAGGAATTTTAGGATATGTCTGTGTTTGGAGATTGGGTCAAAAGCTCAGGAAGCCATTCCATATTGCCAAAAGGCTATATCAATTTGCAATTCTAGGGTGCAGCGGCTGATGAACGAATTAAACAGTTTGTCAGGATCAACAGCAACATCAGCTGCTTCAGAATTGGACCAAACAGGCCAATTGTCTTCAAATGGGTCACAGTCTAATGATTCTATTGTGGATAAAAAGGCAGAGATTGAGACACTGACTGGCCTCTCTGGTGAGCTGGAAAAGAAGGCAAGTTCAACAGAAAATCTTGTTAAATGTTACAACCAAAATATCTCAATGTGCTTTGCTGATTATGTTTCTTTCCATTTGTAGCTTGAAGATCTCGAGCAGTTTGTTTCTAACCCAACATCAATCCTCTCGGATATCCTGGGGATGGTGTCTGCCAAGGCAAGAGGCATTATTGAGAAGAATGGTGCTCCTTCAGTTATAAGCTCTTCACAGCTGGGCATTGATAGCAGTAGTGGAGATCTTGACTCTCCTACTGTTTCCACTGCTCACTCAAATGGAGCTGCTGGGGTAACACATCTTGGTGTGGTGGGAAGAGGAGTCAAGCGCGTGTCGATGAACTCAGCTATGTCAGAATCAAGCGCAATGAAAAAACCTGCATTAGATCCCACAACTGATAAAGGTGATGGTAAGGCCTCTTGAAGGCATTCCATTCCAATGGTGTGCTTGGATGCTACAAGGGCAAATTGTTAATAAGTTTTGGGGACCAGAAATCTTGCAACAATGACAATGCTGAAGTTTGAACCATTGACAGATAATGGATCATCGGTTAGTAGTCTAGGTTTTTTCACTGTTTATCGCACCGATTAGTATTCTCATGTATCCTCTGTTTATCTGGTGTCTTAACATGTGTGTGTGAACTATCCTAGTTTGAATTTAAAGGTACACTATTGTGAATCCATGATTCGCTACTGTGATGCTGAGTATGCCTATATACTCAGTTTGTATGACTTGGTTTCAGAGTATTATGCTTCTACTTACTCTTTGCCACCTTTCTTTCCTTATCATTTTAATACAGCATCTAATCAGAGAACATGACCCATACTGCTCGCCCCTCTCTAGAAATGCAAGCATTTTTTTTTTGGTTTGATCCTCAAATCAAAGTTTTTTGGGGCCATAGGGGTTGCCTAAGCTCCAAACTTTAGCTTGAATTGATCCTTGGTGAACTTGATTGTCTTTTTATAATTTCTTTTTTGAAATTGGTTGTATACACTGTTATTTGTAATTTAAAATGTTCTAGTTCGTTTCCATGTATATATCAGGATTTTTATTGCCATTATATTTATTCCCATTGCGAATAAAATGGCCATTATATATTATTCTTGTGGTGAAAAAATAAAATGTCACCACATGGCCACGTGAAAACGCCTCTATAATTTTTTTTCTTTATTTTATATATGCTTCAATATTTTTGTCTCAAAAATTAATTGTATCCCATCTTGTATCGACATTGTCATCCTAATCAACAACAAAAAAAAAAAAATATTATTACAATAAAACCATCTCATCAACTACAAACAAAAATTCAAAATCTCAATATTTGGACAATCTGAGAGCAATCTAATTATAATACATTTAAAATTAGAGTAAAAAAAATATGCATTGCAAGTCTTGAAAAAAAAAATCCAACCATGAAAAACACGATGATTAAAACCCTCAGTCGGCCCAAATTTTTTCAGGCTTTGACAAACACAAAACAGGAAAACAACTAGTCACGAAAAGTATAATTCAAGTGAAAATGCAAATTTGATACTACCACACTTTATGAAAGATCACAACCTCAAAAAAAATAAAAATAAAAATAAATAAATAAATAAAACTCAACCTAGGTGACTTCAAAAAAAATAAAAAAGATGCCAGTTTGGTTTGATGGGATAGGATGTGATAAGGCTGGTGAATAGGAGTAGGTGAATTACTATGCAAAGCGATAGAATCAAAGCTAAGTTTGTTCTCTCTTACATAGTGTGGTCTGCCATTCCAAAGATGGATTTTGTCAAAGTGATTGAGATTGCTATAAATAAAAGCACTGAAAATGGATAAAAAGAAGCCATACAGCATCCGATCTTTCTTTGAGACGAGGAGTTTACCTAATAGAGGTAAACCAATACATATATATATATATATAGATAGATAGATAGATAGATAGATTGAGAGAGAAAGATGTGCTTCAAGGTGGAGTGTAAGAAGTGTGGGAAGTACTCGTGGGGTGGGTGTGGCAATCACTTGACCACCCTTTACGGCAGCATTGAAGAGGGAAAGCACTGCTTGTGCCGCTCCTGGCCTGGAGTTGTCATCCCACCAAAGATGCCTACTCCTCAACCACCATCATCATCCTCTTCTTCACTCACCGCAGGTATCTATATCTATATATATATATATGTATTAGTGGCTCGTGCACATGCGCAAATGCATGTAGTTAAAATTTTAAGGATGTGAATCAGCTTTCAAATTTTTGTAGCCATTTTGAAAATAACAAAATATTTGATATTTGGTTTTATGGCAAGTTGGATTTGGGCTATTTTTGGGGGCAATTTGGGAAGAAGGGCTTTTTAGTTATTTTTTATTTTTTTATTATTTTTTTTATCGCATTACTTCTTTATTTTTCTAAACAAAAAAGTCAAAAAAGTTAACTTTTTACTATCTTCTCAAAACACTATTTTGGCTAAAATTCACAAAAAGACAAAACAAACTAAAATAACTAATAAGACAAAATGTCGCATCAAACTTATAATCATTTAACTTTTTGTCTCACAAATATCATATCTAACTACAAAAAAATTTAATCATCTTCTTAAATATAAAATTTTTAACCTACTAAAATAATCAAAATTAAAATAACCAATTTCTCAAACACCCACAAATAGGATAGATAGATAGTGTAGATATAGGTTTACTACTCCACTTTTTAACTGTTTATGTTTTTAGTAAATATGTGTGGGTAGCCTTTTAATATGAACACTCATGTGTACGTAGCCTTTTAATATGAACACTCGTGTACGTAGCTTTTTAGTCTGTTTGTACCAAATTTTCTTAATGAATAATCTGCCTTCTTGTATTCTTTTCATTTAAAATTAAAATATTTATTATTTTGACTCATAAATTAAGAAATGTCACTATCACATCATTTTAGACAAATTTCTGATATATAAATTATGTTTGTAAATCATTTTTCAAATCATCACTTTCTTTCTAATGCAACATAAATTAAGACCATTTTATTTTTTGAATAATTGATCAATTAAGGGTTTGTCCACTAATAGAACAATGCTAGATATACAAAATTCATACACATAAATATTTTAATAAAATTCATTGTGCGACTCAAATTTATGTAAATGTAAATCTCACAATACATAAATTAAATAATTAATTTTGAAATATTTTTTTACACACATATCTTTACGTCCACTAATAAGTAGTCTAATTGGGTTGTTGGGTTTGACTTGGGTGCAGAGAAGATGAAATCTTGAAGGTGCCTCGGATGCCAGTCAAATGGAGCTATCTGTGATGTGTTGTGTGTGATATACAGGAAGAGAGACATAAATAGTTTTAATTTGTTGGATACCATCGTATCCTGTGATTTTTTTTCTTGAAAAGTTAGGCTTGAATAATGATGATGGTCGAATCGTGTTAGAAGCGATGTAATAAAGTTGTAGACAAAGGTCAATGTATGCATTGACCAATCCCTCCCTGCCTTTTGATGCAATGCACCCTAGTCTGGTGTGTGGACCAATAATTAGTTTTAAAATTATAAATCCTTTTCTATTATCTTGTGAAGGGTGCCTTTAAATTTCGGAAAATGTGTGAGGGCACTAATTATCACTAATGATGTGGTAGTGGATTTCACCATGAATGATTTGATATTTTAGCCTTGGTGTTATATTTTTTTTCTTTTTTTATTGAGTGCCATGTCATTAGTGGTCTTTTTAGAGCTCCAAAATTAGTGGTCTCTATCATTATTGTTAAATTTCTTCATTTTTTTCCACTTTCATTAGTTATGGGTTTTGTGCTCTTTTTGGGTCATGCTTTAGTTCTCTCTTCTTTTCAGCACACTGTTATTTTGTTATTAATTACTTGTATTTATTTAAAGGGCCACATATCTGTCACACACATACACAATGGAGTATTATATACACCCTCAAAATTGGTCTTGCATCCAAAATTTCAGTGGTCATAATTCATTAATTTTACCACTTTAAATTATAACTAAGACCAAATTATTTTTTTTTTAAAAAAAAGAAAGAATACTTTTGAAGTATTCTATGTTATTATTTGTGTAGTCCTCTTAATCAACGAAAAATCAAAACACATACTAAACATGTCATTTTGTCACTCAATTACCTAACAAAGATGAGACAATATTAATATGTAATAGTATATTTCATTTGTAAAATTTTATGTCACGCGATTGATTTATAACATCATATAAAAAAAATTACTTGGTACTCAAATATTATTGAATAATTAATCTCACAAAAACTCATAACTATAGTCACTTTAATTTTATAATCAAATGTCAATGTCTTATTATAATCAAGATCAATTTAATTTTTGCCTAAAACCACCACAAATCTTTATAATCAAATCCACTATTGTTCATAGTCAATCACCACAAAGTTTATCCCATAAAAAACTCCTAACCAAGTATCACATGAATTAGCCAATGTACCACACCTTTTTAAGATGTGTGCTAAGTAAACATGGCCATGATTAACAAGGAGAGTAGTATTTACCGGTGGGAAGCAGCTGTCCTTCCTAAAAGACAATATGCCCCACAGACCACAAAATTCCAGGACCCCCAAAACCAAGTTCAACCTGTGGGTGACCACATAAAAGTACCTGCCCTCCTTTCATGCACTTTGTCCAATGATTAGTCACTGAAAATATCACATGTATGCAATATACACCCAAAAAAAAAAAAAAGAAAGAAAAAAAAGAGGCTTCCTCAATTAGGTCCCTCTCTGAATGGTCTCTCTCTCCATTCATTTCGCTCCAATGTGCTTCTCTTTTTTTTTCGTAAAAATAAATGTGCAGATAAATTAACTCACGCATCCGTCAGGAATATTATCCTTTAATACCCACAGATATCTTGTAACCTCAATAATTCACTATGAAAGTGACTTGAATCCAAACATTAAACACGATGAACAAATTTCTTACCGCTGAATCAACATACCATTAGTAATGTTATAAAATTGTAATCCAATAATTAATTTAGTTATGTATTTTATGAGTGCTGGTGGTATTTGGGAAGTTTGTGGGTTGGTTTTTTTATTTTTATTTTTTACACTAAAAGATAAATTTTTTACAAAATCAAAAAAAATAAATCCAAACAAAATATCACACCCAACTCTATAATCATTTCACTTTTTTTCTCACAAACATCACATCCAACTACAAAAAAATTCAACTATCTTTCTAAGCACCAAAAAAATTTTATCCAATAATATCCTACAACTAAAAAAATTTACATAAAAATTCACTTCCCAAACACTTACATTAGCACTCTATTTATTATTTTAGACTCCTAATTCTTTGAACCCTTACTTATAAATATTAAAACTCTAAGGTCCCGTTTGTTTTCAGAGGTAGAATGGAGGGGATTGGTAGTGAGGGGATTAATAATGAGGGGATTGTTAGTGAGGGGATTAAGTAAAATTGTGTTTGTTTTGATGATAGTTGTTAGTGTAGAGATTGTTAAATTATTTTTATATAAAATAAATATAAAATAACAAAACAAATAAAAAAAATACAAAAACATTAAATATTAATGTTTTAAAAAAAATGCTCAACATGTAAAAAAAATTTAAAAAATAAAAATAAAATAAAAAAATTTCAGAAAAAAATAAAACAAATAAAATAATGATTTTTACTTAACAGAAAATATAAAAAATTAAACATTAATGTTCAAAAAAAAATGTCCGACATGTAAAAAATAAAATAAAAAATAAATTAAAAAAAAAATTCTAGTCTGCTGAACTATTTTTCTAATACCAAGTCCTGGAGACCCATCTGAATTCCCTTGGGAGGCCTTTCCTAATCCGGAGCTCACTATCAATCCCCTCTCTATCTCTCAAAACAAACACAATATTAGTGGGTCCAACTTCACTACCAATCACAATCCCCTCTCTAACTTTCCAAACAAGCACGCCTAAAAATTTCTTTCATTTCCCAAATAATATCAAAATTATCCTTACGAACATTTCACCCCACTCAAATGCACACTCCTATACCCAAAAACCTTATCTCTCAAACTCCTAACAAAAAAAAAAAAAAAAATCTCAAAAACCCATTCTCTCTCATGATTGCGGAAGAAAAATATTTGTAAAGTGAATCAATCGGTATAAAGAACGTATTTTCTGCAATCTTTACTTTTTTCTTCGCATTAGGTACGTATACTTTCCGTTAATGCCATCCATTTATTTGATCAACCCAAAACCCTCAAAACAACATAAATAAATATATATTTATGTGTATGTATAGTTCAAAGGGAGCAAATTCGCATTTTACTCAGTCTCAATTTCACTCCTTCCTAATCTCCTGAAGTCTCTCTCCTCTCTCTTTCACTAAGAATGTTCGGACCCGTGTTCTCAAACAAATAAGTTATGTTTGGGTCTGTATTCCCAAATAAATAACCAGTGTTCAAGTTTGTGTTCCCGAACTTGATAAAACGAAGACTCCAACAAATGTAAACAATTTTAAACTTTTAAAGTAAATCAAATTTCCATATTTGGACATGCTTTCCTGAACAATAACTAATGTTTAGACTTGTGTTACTGAATTTTGATCATATATTCGGGAGTTCAGTACTGGAAAAAAATACCATCATTTTTCATCATTTTTGTCTTGATTTTTAAGAAATTTACCTTTACAAGACCAACCTCATTTAGGCTTGGTTTGACATAATTTAAAAATGTAAAAAAGTCAAAAAATCACTATCCTATTTAAGTCACATCATCTCTTTATCACATCATTTCAAACCCAACCCAACCCAACCCATGCCCACACTCAATCCATATTTCATAAAAAGTTAAAAAGTACACTTATTTAATTTATCCCAAACAAGTGCTTAATTTAAGAATATCATCAAAGTTATAAACCTCCTTTAAGTTTATATTGTTATACTTTTATTGTCTCATGAAATTGTGATTATCGAAAAAATTTCACTTATTGCCATTGCCAAAAATGTGTAATCGAATGGCACTGTTGCTATTGGATCGCCACCAGAAAGTTCTTAATGTTTTGAGGGTCGAATTTGAGGAAGATAGATGGGTGGTGATGGAAGTGAGTGTTCTTATAGACCCAATCTCATTATTTAGTGGGTGTGTGAGCTTAATTATAAGATGCGGTGTCTCAAAATTATTAATGTCCTCTTTAATAATTTCATTTAAAGTTATTATTCTAATAACGATGGTGCTACATGCACCAATTAGTATATTAATTAGTGTATTACGATATTATTATTGACCCCACTCATTATATAAATTATAAATATCAAAAAAAATTTAAATTATGTCACATTATCAATTAATACATTAATTAATATATATAACATTATTCTTATAATAAAAAAAAATTAAAAAATGAGAAATTCAACCTAATAAATGGATTGCTAATAGAAACAATCATACTTTATTTAATGGTGTTACTCTTTCAACCATGTATTCCCAAAAGTGCTCGCACTGCAAGTGGATATTTAACACTGACCTACAACTATTTAATAGGGCTATTAATGCAAGTCAAAAGGTATGTTGATATTAATGCTAGAGGGCACTAGGTTCAAAGGAATAGTTGGATTGGATGATGTTAAAAGTAGTCCCTTTTTTTTTTTTTTTTCTTCTTCAAAATTTTATTTTATTGCCTTAAAATATTTATAATTGTTAAATTATAAGTTAAAATTCTTATGGATAGAGATTTTTTTTTTTTTTTTTTTTTTGGAATGCTTATACTACTACTGTTAAACTCAATAGTGTGACCACAGCTAGCCGTATGTGTGGGCTATAAAGTGTGTACTCAAGAAAATGGAATTATGGACGGAGGGTTGGACCCAGCTTTTAAAATGGTTCTCAATCTTAGAAACATTCAAACAATGAGATTTCTAGCAAACCTATGCCATTTGAAATTATTTTTTAAAATTATATTTTGAAAATACTATTTAAAAAATTCACAATAAGCTAATTGAAATCGTGTTGAAATTTCAAAGTCGTATTTTAAAAATATGACGTTACAAAATAATACAAGAATAAATTCAAAATTACTTGAGTTTGAAAATTTTGTTTAAAATGACTTGGGTTTGGTTAAAAACTCTTTAAACAAATATTTATTTATTCTTTTTTATTCTTTCAAAAGAATAGCATTACGAACCAATAATTTCATATCAATTGTTCCATTAACCTTATTTAATAAACCAGATTAAGAAAGTCTGGCCCAGAAAAGGGTACAAAACAAATCAGAGTCCAATAATGTCTGCAACGTTATGGCTACAATATGCAATGCCACTACAACTTGTCTTTGAGTTTTCAAACAAAAAACAAATTCATCGTGAGCTTTTGTTGCCAGTGCTTTTTTCATACTTTTACAAAAAAAAATTAAAAAGAATGGTTCTGATGTTATACTTGTCCTTTAATTCTAATTTGAATGTAAAAGCATTGTATGCTCACAATAACTTAAATGGCTCCCAGGTCCCAGCTATAAAGTATTTGAAAATTATTCTTAGCTGTTAGATTGATTTATTTTATTGTGGTGGTTTCAAAGTTTTGGCAAATAGAGCCACAAATTGAGGATTCAGAAATTGTTTCGTATGGAAATAATTCGTGTTAATTGAAATGTGTAGGACTTATTTGGACTTTGTTCATATAAAAAATATATCGACCTGAGCTAAGCTTACTCCTTGCGGTCGGTAAGCATTAAAATTAGGGGAGCCTTCTCTTTAATTTATTGTGTGGATTGAAGTATATTGTTAGGCCTATAGGGCCTACCACGAGTCCTCTTTCGATAATCTAAACCGTTTAATATGTAAAACTCATCGTGTACTTCGTGCCTGAAAAAAATCACATTGATTAGATATTGGTAGCCCCTTGATCAAAACACATTTTTGTTAATGATAAATATGATTTTAAAAATAAATTATTAACACAAATGTTTTCCGATCAAGGAGCTACCGATGTCTGATCAACGTAATTTTTTGCAGAAATGAAGTATTCGACGATTTTTACATATTGAACGGTTCGAATTATCGAAACAGAATTCGTGGTGGACCTTACGGATTCAACAATATACTCTAATCTACACAATGAACTGGAAAAAAAACATCTCCATTAAAATTAAACAACCCAATAGTGGGTTTACCAAGTTAAGCTAAAGTCAGAAATTCACTATTCCAAAAAATATTTTAATTTATAATTATTGACTTATGTCAAAATCTTGATATATGAAAATCACCTAACATGAAGAGATGGTTGTGAGTCTCTTAAAGATAGAAGCATGGACAGTTCTTGAGACGGAAGATCATTGACACCAAAGTGAAATGCAACATATGTTGTGAATACACTTCTTTTTTTTAATTATAAAAATATCAAAAACAAAAATAAAAAAAAGACTTTACACTTTTGTTTTCAATCCATTTCAAACAGTGTAATCATTAATGCTTGACCTTTTGGAATAGATAAGTCTAGTCTCATTTTTCTCCTTAAAGTTTGTTGTCATTACAATTTTTTAAATTATGATTTAAACCTTCTCAATTAAATAATTTTGTTAAAAATTACTCGTCGATAAAACATTTTTTTATTATTTTTTATTATCTATGTATCAAAGGGTCAATGGGGTTGTTCTTGTTCGTGACATTAGCGTTGAATTGAGCACATGAGGCCCACAAAATTACAGTAATTAAAATATTCACATTTTTCAAGAAAAAAAAAGGCAATAAAGCCAAGTTGGCAAGCAATGCGTGCAATTGGTGTTAACTTTCCAGGTGAGGATCAATGGTTTTAACTTCATCATGTTCTGTCAAAGTCGTCTTTTCTAAAGGAGAGTTTTCTCTCCAGTTAACTGTATAGATGAGAGTATATTGTTGGGTTTGTAAGATTTCGTAAAGTATTTTATGTTTATAAAATGTCACATGCATGTAAATTATAATTATTTTAAATTCAAACTAAAATAATTAAAAAATCACAAAAACTAACACACACATTTCAAAAGAAGGCTAAATCTTTTTTCATTTTTTTCCCCTATCCTTACAGAAAAAGAAAGGAAAGAGAGCTGATCTGATTCAAAAATAAAGAGAGATTTCGGAAAAGGAAATACCAAACCAACCAAGTATAGTGATCCCCCCTCTTTTGGATATTTGTTCAAGCTCCATTTGTCCGTTCTGTGCCTTCTCGATTCCGCTCTGCCCCCCCTTTTCCACATTTTGCGTCTTTTCTCAACTCATCATCATGGCCAACAACACTTGATCCCCCGGCTCAATCTTCCATTTCACTTCTGCTTACACAAAAGCAAAGTTGATTTTTCACTTTCAGCTACGAAAAGAGCTTCCTATTACTCATTATGTTCTTGAATATAATCCATCTCGTTTAGTTATTGAAGTTTCTTCGTAGATTTGTGTTTCTGAAGAAAAATGGCAGCTGAGAAGTCGAGCTCAAAGGGGCAAGCATGGTAAGTCTTGATTCATCTTGTTTGTTTGTACTCCATTGAAAATTCTTGAAGAGGACTGACCTGTTTGTTTCATTGTTTTTTCTTTCAGGTTCTGTACCACAGGGTTACCAAGCGACGTTGTTATCGAAGTCGATGACATGACCTTCCATCTCCACAAGGTCAATTTTATTTGCTGAAACATTGGATTTTCTATCAGTTTCTCTTCAAATTCTATGCTTAACTGTGTCTGTATTTTGTCGTTTGATTGTTCAGTTCCCTCTAATGTCGAAAAGTAAGAAGCTTCACGAGCTGATTACGGAGCAAGAGACAAACCCTACTAGAGTCCAAAAACCATCTGCTGATGCGGCAGAAGGAGAAATTGATGGTGGCGAAGAGATCAAAGAAGAGGAAGAAGAAGAGGCCTACAGCAACATCTCTCTCCCTGAATTTCCGGGCGGCTCTGAGGCCTTCGAGACCGCCGCCAAGTTCTGTTACGGAGTTAAGATCGAGCTCTCCTCTTCAAACGTCGCTCCTCTCCGCTGCGCCGGAGAGATTCTGGAGATGACCGAAGAATACTCCGAAGATAACCTCATCTCAAGAACCGAGAGGTTTCTCTCCCAATCAGTCCTCAAAAGCATCAAGGACTCCATCAAAACCCTAAAATCATGCGAGCGATTGACGCCTCTGGCCGAGAATCTCGGCATTGTTCAGAGGTGCATCGATTCCATCGCTTCCGGGGCTTCTTCAACCGATCCATCATTGTTCGGATGGCCGGTGAATGAAAAGGCCGGAACTGGCAGGACTGAAACTGGCGGTCGCCGGAAAACCGCCGGCGCGGACTCTTGGTTTGAGGAACTAGCACTTCTCAGTCTACCGCTATTCAAACGCTTGATTTTTGCTATGAAGACTCAAGATCTGAGTCCGGAGATTATCGAGAACTGTCTCATTTACTATGCCAAGAGATATATTCCGGGTATTTCTCGTTCTAATCGGAAGCCGTCGTCGTCGTCTTCTATTCCTTCAGAGATTGAACAGAGGGAACTGTTGGAGACTGTAATTACTAATCTTCCTCCAAAGAAGAGCTCCAGATCTTCAACGGCGACGAGGTTTTTATTCGGATTATTGAGGACGGCGAACATATTGAACATTTCGGAAGCTTGCAGAGCCACATTAGAGAGAAAGATCGGAACAGAGCTCGATCAAGCAACATTGGACGATCTTCTGATACCGAGCTATTCGTATTTAAACGAGACGCTCTACGACGTCGATTGCATCGAGAGGATCTTACGGTACTTTTTGGACTGTTTGGAGGAGAGATCGGCTGCGAGAATCGAAGGCGAGGAAGAGAATAGCAGTGTCAGATCGGCGGCTCTAATGCTAGTCGGAAAATTGATCGACGGTTATCTATCGGAGATTGCTTCGGATGCTAATTTGAAACCAGAGAAGTTCTACGAGCTCGCCGTTGCTCTGCCGGACCACGCCAGGCTCTTCGACGACGGCCTCTACAGAGCCGTCGATGTCTACCTCAAGGTACGTACGTAGTGTCTAGCTTCATAAACTAGTGAATTCATATTCATATGTGTTGGCAGTGTTTTGAGATCGTTTCTTGAATGGCTAATTTGCAGGCGCATCCATTGATATCGGAGGCGGAGAGAGAGAAGATTTGCGGACTGATGGACTGCCAGAAGCTGACGCTAGATGCGTGCACTCACGCGGCGCAAAACGAGCGGCTTCCGCTGAGAGCGGTGGTTCAGGTGCTGTTCTTCGAGCAGCTGCAGCTTCGACAGGCCATTGCCGGAACACTCGTGGCCGACATCGCCCCCAGGCCGTCGGATCTGCGCCGGGAGGGAGACGATGCGTCGGAAGCCGGAGTGGCGGTTCAAGCGCAAGATGGTTGGCAGCAGTGAGGGAGAATCAGATGTTGCGGCTGGACATGGATAGCATGAGGTCGCGGGTGCAGGAGCTGGAGCGTGAGTGTTCGGCAATGAAGAAGGCGATCGGGAAGATTGGCGGCGCAGCTGATGGAGGGAGCGGAGGATGGAGGAGCTCGATGACGAAGAAGTTGGGGTGTAAGTTTAAGATACAAGTGTGTGATTCGCATGAACCACCAACGACAACGGTCGTGAAGGGGAGTAAAGGACGAAGCCACAATCGTCATCAATAGAACCATTGGAAATTGTTTTCATTTTTACTCTTTTATTTTTAGTTATTAATTTTTTTTTGTTGATTTTCCATGTTGGGTTGTGTAAAAGTTAGGAGGAATGAACTCGGATGCCATTTAATAGTGGTGTGTACCAAATGAAGATAGGAGAGGTAGTGTAGTTAGTTTTCAACAAAATGTCTCGGCTTCCTAGTTCTGTATAAATTGGAGTTGGTCATGTAACGCCATAATAATCAACATGCGTACACCGTCAGACAAAGCTCTTTCTTTCTTGTTCACAGGAAGCACTAGCAGAAAGAACAGCTTGAAAGCTAGTGTTGGGCTTGATGTGCAAATTGGACCCTGGGTTGATCCATGCCTAGTCTAATTGTGTTATTTGTGCCCAAAACATCCAAAGGTTCGCCCAATTGGATGTTTGATTCAGAATACTTTTGTAACATAACTGTCACGTGTTTGTTTCTTAGTATTCACAATTTTTGAACTGGATACTTCTGTTCATGGGAGAGTCGGAGTGGAGAGAGAGATGTTTGGTTGGAAGGAAATTTCTATTTTTATTAATATAAAAATAGTTTGGTAATATTATATTTTTTCTTATTAGAGACAAACTCTAACAGAGATATTTGTAATTAATTTTTTTTTAAAATTTCTTGAATTTAATTTTAAATTTTTTTGTTTTTAATGATTTTTTTTAATATTTTAAGTAATTTTTTACTTTTTAAATGCATTTAACAATAATGTACCTAAGACTATCTCCAACTGTTCACCAAATCCAATATCAAATTTAGATTCGATGAAAAAAAATTATTTTTTGTGCTCCAACGGTTGCACAAAAATAGTATCAAATTGAGAACAAACCAAATTTTTCACCAAACTGAGAATGCACTGGATCTTTCACCAAAATACTGTTCATTATCGTTATATTTTCATTATCGAATGACTAATTTTCTCAAAATTTTGTACAAATTTTACACTGGGAGGTCGACCATCCGGATTACCCTCAAGCTTGAATACAGAATTGTACAGAATTTACTCTTATTGGTCGACCGGCTGGACGTCCGGCCGGACGTCCAATACGTTTTGATGAAAGCTACGGTAGACCATTGGAGTGATAGATATCAAATTGAGCCAAATGTCTTTTTTTTACTTAAATTTAGTGAAAAATTTGTTCAACCGTTGGAGATTCTCTAAGTAAACTATTTTAAAAAATTAATAAATACATAAGAATACGAAAATGTATTGAATTTATATATATATATATATATATATTATTTTTTTTGTAAAAAAACAATATTCAGCTAGTGTTTTAAAATTACTTTTGATTGTATATTTGATTGGAATTTTTTTTAATTGTTTTGTTTAAAAATGCTTTTTATTTCTTAAAAACTATTGTGACAAATTAATTTTTTTTTTGTTAATTTTAGTTAAATGGCCAAATAATTTTTCATCTTGGTCTAAAAAAAATTGCAATTGACAAATGACAGCTCATCAATTATGAGGTATTTCACTGGCAAGCATAGAGTATTACCAGGGCCGTCTATCTGGAGCATAGATCCCCCCTTGCATTTTTTCCTTTCGTTTTTTACTTGCAAACCTATTGGGCCTACTTTTAGATTCAATTTTGATAATTTAAATCGTTCATATTTTAAGATTTGTTCAATATATCATACATGTAAAAGATCAAGTTAATCGGATATCAGAAAGCATGTGTTCGGAAAACTGTTTATTAAATTCTTTAAACAAATAGTTTTTAGTTCGAGTTTTCCGAACACATGTTTTTTGATCTCCGATCAACTTAATTTTTTACAGGTATGATATACTAAACAAATCTTAAAATATGAACAATTCAAATTATCAAAATTAGGCCTAAAAATGAACCCAATAAACTTACAAGTAAAAAATTAGGCCTAAAAATAAACCCAATAAACTTACAAGTAAAAAATACAAGGAGGGAATCCTCATTCGTCTATCTGTGCTCCACTTCTCATACACTAATAAAGAAAGCAAAAAAAAAAGAACTTATTAATATTATTATATTAGTTTTGATTAATTTTGACAAACGACGGAATCTAACCAATCAAGTCATCAAGTCAACCCCCATTTGACATGCCATGGTTATATCATTGATGACGATACTCCAGAAAGAAAAGATATATACTAATAATGTTTGAGAGCCACAATTTGTGTGGTTCAAATGGCTCAAAACTGTTAAAACGATGTCGTTTTGGCATGTTTTGTGCTCAAAACGACATCGTTTTAACAGTTTTGAGCCATTTGAGCCACACAAATTGTGGCCCTCTACCATTGCCCTATATACTTTGGTTGAGATAAAATAATACACGTCGCAATATATTATGGAGGTTGAGCATTCTGTTCTGAGTTTCTGGCCAAGATCCGAATTGTGTTACTTTTTGGACCACTGTTTCTTAAAATAGATTTTTTACTTTTTATTTTTAATTTGAATCTTCTTTGAATAAAAATAACTTCCGAAGAGGATGACTACCCCACACGACACCCACGCCATGGTGCCAATACCTTCCCTCTCCCTACACTTCTGCCAAAATCAACCAGTCATTCCATTCATGTGTCAAATGTGATTTTTTTTTTTTTTAAAGTAGTTTTAAAATAATAATACTAAAAACATATAGGAGTAATTAAAATATAGAATGCATGGCAAAAAATATAATAGTAATGTGAAACCTTTCATAATTGAATTTAACTAAATCAATCTCGCTAAGAACTGTCCATAGAATAGAAGGCACAAAATAATTACCCGCCAAACGCAGACCCAAATACTCCATAAAACTTGAATGAGTGACGCGTGGCCCATTCACAGAGTCGAAAGAACAAACAAGGAAGGAGGAATACAAAAGCAAGGCAGTTGGGATCCGTAAAGTCGCACCTTTTTACGTTCTCAGAATAATTCAGCTGAAAACAAGGACCCAATAACCCCATACACAACAACAATAGAATTGCATATTACACAATTGCTTAACTTTTCTTTCTCATACACAACAACAACACCACTCTCTCTCATTCTCTCTGTGCTTGTTCTACTTTGTTTGGCTTTTATTTTTTTGATAGGATATATCTGTGGGAGAGGGAAATGGGGAGGAGTATGATGGGGTATTTGGCCATGAAGACTGATCTGGCCACGGCCGAATTGATCAATTCCGACATCGATGAGCTCAAGATCGCTGCTAAGCGCCTCCTTAACCACGCCACCAATCTCGTTGGCCTTGGCTTCGGCACTAGCTTACTCAAATGGGTTGCCTCCTTTGCGGCTATGTCAGTCCACTTTTATCTACTTCTCTACAATTCTGAATATATATGTGCCCTGAATTGAGTTAGATGTTTTTTTTTTCTTTTTTCCCAATTAAATTGTTATTGATCTTTGATTCTGTTAAGCAATTGGAATGTGATTTTGGTGGCTTATAGTAGCAATGAATGGTTGATTGTTGTTAGTTGTGTGTGTCATTTAATTTGGGTTGCTTTTCAGTGTGGAATTGTGAGGAGTGCCATGTGGGAAGTGCTGATTCGTTGCCTATTAATGTTTCCATTGAATTATATGTGGCTAGGCCTAAAACAATTATGCTACAATGATAGTTTAAAATATGTAATTAAAATAATTACTGAATTAGTAATTAAAACAAATGGTGGGAACCAACTCCAACCACGCAATCTGGTGGGATGAGAATTTTGAAGCGCGATCATATGATTGGAAGTGCATTGGGATAAGAGGACAAAATATTTTGTGATGAATTATGATGCAAAGAATGTCAATTTATGCTGATTTCTTATTGTCAAAAAGGGAAGGAGAACGAAATGTTCTTTCTCACTTATTTTTGGTGGATAAATATTATTTTATTTGGCATATTTTTCAGCCCTCCTTTCTGTCATTGTTGAGATTTGTTTTTGACAACTTGACCTACTCATCAACTTTTTGTTACATAGTTTGCACCATTTTACAACTTTGATGGGAATTTTTTATTTAATTTTTTTGGTTAGCATTGTTAGGCTAGAAATCTATACCACGGTGCATTGATCCCTCAAAAAACAGTTGATTAGTTGGCTTTTTAGTCTCTTTGGTATGGTACGATATGGATGAATAGTACAATGAAGTTGATCTTGAGTAAAACGCAGTCATCCAGATAATTTGTGGGTTCAGCCTTCTTATGTTGATTTTCTGCTAAATGCTCATTGCTCATATTTTGTTGGGAGACAGAGAAAGGTCCCAAAACTTGCAGTGAGCTGGGTTGTAAGTCAACCAAAGCACTTGATTGAATATTTAATATACTGTTCAAAATCTTAGTACCATATTAACCAATTTGTTTCCAATAAAATGTTTTGATAAATTTCTTACAATTCATTTATGTTAGATGATGATGAGAAAAATATGTAAGAGGAAAAGTAACCCATAATAAATCACATGTTCAAGGTGCAGTAGTTTTCTAGGCTTTTCTGCCCTTTGCTTTTGCCATTCCTGTTGTCATTCAATTCTGAGAGCTTGACAAACAATCTTTTTCAGTGATCATTGCTTGATTGAATATTTAATATATTGTTCGAAATCTTAGTACCATATTAGCCAATTTGTTTCCAATAACATGTTTTGATAAATTTCTTACAGTTCATTTATGTTAGATGATGATGAGAAAAATATGTAAGAGGAAAAGTAATCCATAATAAATCACATGTTCAAGGTGCAGTAGTTTTCTAGGCTTTTCTGCCCTTTGCTTTTGCCATTCCTGTTGTCATTCAATTCTGAGAGCTTGACAAACAATCTTTTTCAGTGATCATTGCACACAGTTTGATTATCTTTGAGAATACTACCGGAAAATTTGTACTCATACATAGCCAGTTTTGCTATACCTTTCAAGGTGCTCTACCCAAATGATATACAGTCTTGGCTCTTTGATTTGGGACTCTTACCTAAGCAAAGCATGTTGGACTCGTTCACTCAAGTTACCCTCTAACTGGAGTTGATTTGGGCAGAACTTCTTAGGCAAACATCATTAAGGACTCCAATGCTTCGTTCAGAGGTCATCAATAATTATCGTGAAGCCAATTCCCATGTTGCTTACCTGGTAAAAAAATTGGTGCTAATTCGGAGCATGGGCTGGCCTCTGGATTCTTGGGAAACCCCAGAAGGACATAAGCTCATATTATTGGAAGACATGAGAAGCAGAGTGTGGCCCTTTAATTTTCATATTTGAGCTCAATCCTTTGCACCAAGGGAAACAAATAATAATAATAAGGGAGTTTTGATTGGCCAAGTAAGCCAACTGCCCTTTTCCAGTGGAAAAGATACAACCTCTCAAGCGCAACAATGGAAGCATTAGTTCTTGTACCTAACACATTTGGCCAATGTGAGTAAATCAACGTCACAAGTTCCTTCTTGTTGGATGATGGATTAGACAAAATCCACTACCTTAAAAGCTGCAGTTATGCTTTAGTCATTTTATCATTCACTTGCTTATTCACTTTCCCATTTGCATATATACTGGAATATTTCGTAAATAATTTCTGGTCAGGCTTATATATTAACTACTGCTTTACATGTTTACTGCAGTTACTTGTTGATTTTGGACCGAACGAATTGGAGAACAAACATGCTGACTTCACTTCTAGTCCCTTATATTTTCTTTAGTCTTCCTTCGGCTTTGTTCAGCTTCCTAAGGTGATTACCTCTAATTTGATGGTCAATTTGTTTTATTCTCTTTTCTCTCTTCTTCGAACTTGATATTCTTGATGACTGTGTGCTTTCATTCTTTAGAGGAGATTTTGGGAAATGGGTTGCTTTCATTGCAGTTGTACTGAGGCTTTTCTTCCCTCGACATTTCCCAGGTAAAGATTCAATCACACTATTGGTTATTATGGATACGGTTGTCAAACAGAATGTGGTCTTTTTTCCCACGGGTTGAGCCCCTTATACTTGTCAATGCTGGCTTGTAATTATTTTTATTTTTTATTACCTGCAACTATGTTGTTTGACTTGCTGTTCCCATTGATTGTGTTAGTTTGATACTGGCAATTTGTTAAACCTGGTGGGATGGGCCGTCTTCTAAACTTGCTAGGATTTCATCCCTATTATATTCATTTGTTATGGAAAGTATTATTAGGGTATAAGAATGCAATCTTTTACTTGTGATTGTAGGTGAAATAGAACTGGATATGTGTTTTCATTACATGCTCGAGGCTCCTCCTGTTCATTGTCCACGGTCCTTTCATAACCTTATAAGCTGAAGCTTTTCTGCACTTTCAACTCCTGCTTCCGAACTTTCAACTCCTGCTTCTGAAAATTGCTGCACATTCTAAATTTGTGAATTTGCACAAAATTCCAGATCTTGATCTAAATGGTTTTAGTTATGTGGAGTAATGTTAGGAATTGGGTGAGTTTTAAATCTGATTATCATTTTAAGGATGGCTAATAAATTTCATATCATGAGGTATCATAGTAAACTCTATGATTCTATATAGTCCCCTGCAAATTATACTTGCAGTGCTCAATCCATTTGGACTCCAATTCACAGCAAACTATTTACAGAAAATTACAGGAGTTTGCTTTAAGGTGGTGTGTGTACCATAATTTTGTGCGGTTCTCATTTATTCCATTTTGTATCGTCTTCACCAATTGTGTGGCCTGGGTGCAGACTGGCTGGAGATGCCTGGGTCATTGATTCTTCTTCTGGTTGTTGCTCCCAACTTCTTTGCACAAAGCCTAAGGAACAGCTGGGTAGGTGTCGCTATATGTCTTATCATCGGTTGTTACCTGCTGCAAGAGCACATCAGGGCATCTGGTGGATTCAGAAATTCCTTCACTCAAAGCCATGGTGTATCAAACACTCTAGGGATTATCCTCTTGTTAGTATATCCAGTCTGGGCACTGGTACTCCACTTCATCTAGGCTTTATCATAGCCCTCATCTGTGAACTGTCTTTTGGTCCAGAATTTGAAATATTAAGTTATTATTTGTATTAGATGTCATGTTATTTAGTAATCATATGTTAGATGAACCAATTTACTGGCAATAGCAACTTTGCTTTGTTATCTTAACTTGGGTTGTGATTCAACCCTGTGGAATGTAGTAGAACTCTCCCACTCCAGTCCTTGCTGATTTGAAATGATCATTTATCAGTATCTTTGTGAGTTAAGACTTGAATCTTTTCTTGCTTTGTTTTGACAAAATAGAACTTTCAAAAGAAATGTGTAGCGTTTGTAAACTTTCCATGGGTTCAAAATTTTGAAAGATTATCACCCGTAATTTGTTTTTCCTCTATGACATGAAGATTTTTGCCCCGTATAGGTAAGCATTTTTTTTCCCTTCTAAATATGATTGTGATGTGTCGAAGTTATCCATTGTTTAAATAGTTTTTGTTTATTGGGTTAAAAAATAAGAGAATTCTTTTTCCAATAATATAAAATTTTGTAATTACCTTGACAATCGCCTCAGCTTGCTGCTGACTAAAATATTTTTTCGTCTTTTTATTTTTGTAATTTTAGTCTATAATCTTATTTGATATATTTTTTTTATTTAGAAAAACTTATTCTAAGATATCATATAGGCTTCAAAAATATCAACTCATTCTTCTATTTCGGTTTCGGAAGCAACCCTATTGAGCTATATATTATTTATAATGTCAAATCAAAATTCTCCTCAATTTGAAGGGACGTAGACTCGTTCTTTCACTCATACTTTACACCACTTGCAACCCTTCTCTCTACTCCGCGACACACTTAGGTGGTGTTTGGCAAGATTTTGGTTTGGTTTTTTTTTTTATTTTTTTCATTAAAAGATAAAAAATTTTCAAAATCAAAAAAAATAAATACAAATAAAATATCACATCCAACCTCATAATCATTTTACTTTTTCTCTCATAAATATCACATCCAACCACAAAAAAATCCAACTATCTTCCCAAATACCAAAAATTTTTTATCCAATAATATCCTACAACTAAAAAAACCTACATAAAAACCCGCTTCCCAAACACTCACTTAGTCTGTTCTTTAGTGTCTCTTGTCACAACTTAAATCTGGTACCTAGAGGTTTGGTGTCGCAGCATGACAATAAAAACTAAATAATTAAAATTTCTGTAGTAGTAGCACAAGCGGATAAATAAAATAAAATAAATAGGTACCAAAAGTTTATTTAAAAAAAGAAAATAGTCATATGGGCTTTATTTTATTACAAGAGTCCGATCAGAATTACATATAGTAATAAAAAAAACACTGCGGCTCTTTCCTAATCTTGATCCTACTAAATCTCATCACCTAAAAGGGGTAACAACTATAAGCACATGACAAAGTAAGAAATATTATACAATAAGCATGAAGGTACATAAGTTACCATGGATAATTATTTGGCTAAGAACAGAGATTAGTTTGATAATTGAAATATATAATTAATTTTAAATAACAGAAGCATAATGCGAAAATCATATAAGCAAATAACCATAACTATGTTACAAAACAGAATAGAGCAAAGGTCACTAGAGTGACAATCAGAACAGGGGTCAATAGATCCATGACAAACAAAGGACCACAAAGTGGCCAAACAGGGGTGAATGGTTATTTAAGTTCCCCAAGGCATAGGACTCCCGTGGTGGTACTTACATAAAATAATTATTTACAAGGTCATTGTCAAATACTTTCTAAAATTTAAACAAGCATATCCATGAGTTTTCATTTAAGTAAATAGGAGTCAAAAAATAATCTACGTAATCGAAATTTAATATAATTTATAAAGCACAAATTGCGTAAAATAAATTATGGTAATTCAAAACATACGTAAAATATATTATAACGACTCAAGTATAATATAACTAACCTTAATGTTAATTCTTTACTATTTATCCCACTTGATGCTCCAAGTCACACTTCGTGCTTTTACTATCTTTCTTGTAACATATCCATGAGTTTCCATTTAAATAAATAGGAGTCAGAAAATAAATTATGATAACTCAAAACATATGTAAAATATATTATGACAATTCAAGGTATAATATAACTCACCTTAATGTTAATTCTGTAATATTTATCCCATTTGATGCTCCAAGTCACACTCCGTACTTTTACCGTCTTTCCTGTTTGTTTTTATTTTATTTTATTTTCTTTTTTTTTTTTAATTTTCTCTGCCTTTCTCCTACATTTTCACCTTTCCCCCTTTTATACTTGGTTCATATGCTTGCTCAACAAGCAAAATTTTGCCCCTACTTAATTACTATACAGGTGTTGCAAAACCATGCTCTCAGGTGGCATTGTTTTAGTGCCTTAGACCCCACTTTTCTTACACGTGGCTTGATCAACGAATTATACCCCTTCGTTGTGCCACTTGTAAGTCTGCACTTGGGCCTAATAAATATATATCATACACTGTCTTTTGATAAATCTTAATGGTTCCCGTATTTTAAAACATATATGTTTATAGTTGCTTTGAATTAGTCCTTAACAATATATTTAGATTTCATTTTAGCACGTATAATTATAGAATCAAATGTTTTATTTATTTATTTTTTTCTGATATAACACGGAATTCTATTTATTTAAGTAACGCAGTATTGAATTAACTTTATAAAAAAAAATTGGGTGTCACATTTCTCCTCTCCTTAAAACAAGTTTGTTCCCAAACTCAACGTACCTTGGGTTTCAAAGAGGTGTGTGTATTTCGCTCACATTTGTTTTTTAATTTCCTAAGTTGCTTCTTCAACAAGATGGTTTCTCCATAAGACTTTTACAAGTGGTATAGTCTTGTTTCGAAGGACCTGATCACGTCGATCGAGAATCTGTACTAGTTGTTCTTCATAAGAAAGGTCTTCTTGAACTTCCAGGTTCTCATAATCAACAACATACTTTAGATCTCGAAGATACCGCCGAAACATCGAAACGTGAAACACATTGTGGACATTGGACAGTTTGGGTGGAAGCGCAAGGTGATATGCCACAGGACCAGTCCTTTCTAGTATCTCGAATGGCTCGATGTAACGTGGGTTTAACTTTCCTCGTTTTCCAAATCGGATAACCTCTTTCGTGGGTGAGATCTTTAGAAACACATAATCTCTTATTTGAAATTCTAAGTCCCGTCTCCGTGTATCTGCATAGCTTTTCTGGCGGCTCTGGGTAGTGCGAATTCGTTGTTGGATGAGATGAATTTTATCGTTCGTTATTTGCACAATCTTGGGGCCTAACAGTTTCATGGCTCCGATTTCCGTCCAACACAGAGGTGATTGGCATCTCCTTCCATACAGTGCTTCGTAGGGTGTCATTCTAATGCTTGCTTGGTAGCTGTTGTTATAGGCGAATTCCATTAAGAGCAGCTGATTATCCCAATTACCTTTGAGATCTAGCACACACACACGTAACAAATCTTCCAAAGTTTGGATTGTTTTTTCAGATTACCCGTTAGTTTGTGGATGATAAGCAGTGCTAAACTTCAATGTGGTTCCCAAAGCCTCTTGCAATTTGTTCCAAAAGTGAGACATGAAGCGGGCGTCTCTGTCATGATTTCTTTGATGTACAGAGTGGCGAGCTTAGTGAGGGGGCATGCGATTTTGATTGGTAGAAAATGCGCCGACTTTGTCAATCGATCCACTATAACCTATATTGTATCATTCTTCGAGATTGACTGTGGTAGCCCGACCACGAAGTCCATAGTAATGTGCTCACATTTCCATTCAGAAATAGGGGATGGTTGTAGCATTTTTGTAAGTCTCTGATTTTCTGCCTTAACCCGTTGACAATGCAAGCATTTAGAGACGTGGCTTGCTATGTCTCTTTTCATTCTTGTCCACCAGTAGTGTTCCTTCAAATCGTGATACATCTTCGTGTTGCCAGGGTGGACCACAAACCTCGAACTATGAGCTTCTACCAATATTTTCTTCTTGAGTTCTGGAAGGTCAGGTACGCAAATTCGATTTCAAAATTTTAGCATCCTATTGCTCGTAGTAAAGTCAGGATTAGGTGTACTTTTTTGCTCATTGTATTTCTTCTTCAAAAGTCTATCTTCGCATTGGCGTGCTTTAATTTCTTCAATCAATGTGGGTTCCACGATTATGTTGGCGAGCAGTCCATTGATTTTGCGGGGGACGAGGTTACATGCCAAATTTCTGGTTGTCTTTCAGCTCAGTGCGTCTGCCACCAAGTTAGCTTTGCTTGGATGGTGATGGATCTCTACATCGTAGTCCTTCATAAATTTTAGCCATTATCGTTGTCTCGTATTCAGTTCTTTCTATGTAAATAGCTATTTAAGACTCTTGTGATCGATATATATCTCGCAGGTTGCTCTGTAGAGATAGTGACGCCAAATTTTGAGAGCGAAGATTACTGCGGCTAATTCTATATTGTAGGTGGGGTAGTTCTTCTTATGAGTTTTTAGTTGACGCAATGCATATGCAATGACTTTTCCATTTTGCATAAGAACACAGCCCAAACCATTGTGTGAGGCATCGTTATAAATTACGAACCTTTTCGTTCCCATAGGGAGTGCTAGTATAGGAGCTGTCACAAGTTTGTTTCTCAACTCTTGGAAGCAATGTTCCTACTTGTCCGTTTATTCAAAGGGTGTGTTCTTCTGAGTTAGATGGGTCAAGCGTGATGCTATTTTTAAGAAATCTTGTACGAAGCACCGGTAATAGCCTGCTAGACCCAAGAAGCTTCGAATTTCAGACACATTAGTAGGTCTTGGCCAATCCACAATTGATGTAACCTTTTGGGGGTCGACCGAGATGTCATCCTTGTTAATGACGTGACCGAGGAAGTGTACACTAGTGATCTAGAAGTCGCATTTCTTCAACTTGGTGTAGAGTTTGTGATCACATAGTGTTTATAGAATCGTTCACAAGTGTTGTTCATGGTTCACCAGTGACTTGGAGTATATGAGAATGTCATCAATGAAGACGATGATGAACTCATCAAGATAGGGTTTGAACACTCAATTCATGAGGTCCATGAAGGCCGCTAGAGCATTTGTAACGCCAAATGGCATGATGAAAAACTCGTAGTGTCCATAACGTGTCCTGAAAACAGTCTTTTCGATACTTTCTATTTTGACTTTTAGTTGATGATAGCCGGAACGCAAGTCGATTTTCCAGAATACTTGGGTGCCTTGAAGTTAATCAAACAAGTCATCGATTCGTGGTAGAGG